ACATTGTCTGGATCACATGAAATCAACAGTGACTCCAATTAAACTCCACTCATAGAGGCAACTCCCTAGAACTATTATGTTGAACGAAACGTCAAAAAGGGACAGCGCCCGGTTGTTATCTGTAGTACATATGACAGATTGTTCTGAGTTTACATATGGGTACGAGAGGAGGACTCTGTCTTGGTTCCAAGAGTTATTATTGGTTTCACGAGACCACTGAAATTTTCAGCCGTTGTCTTTCACCAATATCTACATGGATATCCTTCCAGATTGTATTAAAGACACATGGTACGATCAAACACATTGAGGGTGCATGAGACTATCAGCCCCCAGCTGTCGATGTGTCGTGGTTCCCCCACCCAAAACTGTACGGTGTCAGGGTACGGCGCCCTGGGAAAGTCGTAATTCCTTGCTACACCGCCCATTTCGCAAACTCACGTTTATGCTAACACCGTCCGCACGGCGCGTGTCGCGTGCAGCTCTCTTGGCTTTTGCCAACTCCTGTAATTGCGCTTTGTAATACAAGTAAAATGCAATTTCTTCAATAACATTTCAGGCGCTGCAAAATAAGGATCGAAGATGATGACGAGGGCCAGAACTCAACAGCAACTGTGCTGTTCCTGCAACATTCCTCAGAAACCGGGCATTCCCACAGAACATGACAATAAAAACGGACAATATGACAATAAAACATGACAATATAGGCAAAACGCAATTTCCTAACATCTGAGGTACTGCTCATGCTTCAAAGTCCGAATAGAGGGTGATGAAGGTGACAAGGGCTAGAAACGAAGAACAACGAATGTAGATGTAAATAAAACAAAATTGAAAAAACTAAGGAAAAGCAATAAATTTAAATCACGTGCGCATTTCTGCGATCCGCTCGAATCCGTCTCCAAAGCCACAGAAATACTTTGAACTAAGGAGTGGGACGCTTAGCCGGTTTTTATTTTCATGTTTCATGGAAATGCGTGGCCTCTGAGGAATATTGCAGAAGCACCACAGTTGCTCTTGAGTTCTAGCCCTCGTAATCATAATGAAAATGTTATCCGCATAAAGAAATACGTTTTACTTGTATTCCAAAGCGCAATTACAGGACTTAGAAAAAAGCCAAGAGAGCCGTGCGGACTGTGTTAGCATCAACGTGAGCTTGCGAAATGGGCGGTGTAGCAAGGAATTACGACCTTCCCACGGCCTCGTACTCTGTCTCCCTGCAGTTTTGGGCGAGGGAACCAGGACATATTGAAGCTGGGGGGGGGGCTGATAGTCTCATGCACCCTCAATGTGTTTGAGCGTACCATATGCCTTTAAGGAGGAATCCGTTCAGTATTCCACCATAACTGTGAAGCATCATTGCGTCCGCTCCCTTCAGTAGTACTGTGAATTCTGGGAACGTCAGTACAAAATGCTGAGTTACGTGGGGCTTCGCCGTCAAACATACTCGATACTGGTCTTGCGCTTATTACGACACTTGGATGCAGCCAAATGACCGCTACTGATCATCGTTCTGCTCTTGATTTCCACAAAATATTTTCCCCATAGTATTCTCCATGAGCTCGCGAGTCAGCCCCATACATCAACAATGGAAGCAAGAATGCTTCAAAGAAAACAGACAATCAAAAAGCCAGATGTTCGTTAACAATTTCAGCCTGTGGAGCATAGGTCGTCGTTTTGTGCGAATAGGAAAGTAAAGATATCGATTCAGCGCTTTGAGCGTACGCTGGCGTTGGGTCGTCACCCATGCCTTCCCAAGAAAAGAAGCTCGCTCAAGACTTAAATTCGATAATGATGACCATTTCGGAGCCGAGAAGGCTGGTTCTCCGTTTCTGGACCTACACTTTAGGGAGAAGATAAGTCGGCAAAGCCTATGTAGTAGTGTTCGAAGGTCGGTAGCAACTAAGACTATATTCGGATCGAAAAAAGACCTGCAACACCTTGAACAAACTGTTCTATTAGGTCATTCCGTCCAAAAATGTGAAACGTTTTATTCATATAAAACGAAGAGAAAAACAGACAAAGAGCTGTTATTGTTTGATGTGAGTGCTGTAAGGCTATGGCACAAATAGCCATTAAGCTGAGTGGTCAGAAGTGGCCTCGGTAGCGTAATAGGGAACGCAACTGCCCGGTAAGCAGAAGATGCGAGTACGAATCCCGTCCGTGGTCCGACTTTTGCCCATAACTCAGCATTCTTGTGATAATGTAATGTTCGTCTTGGCACCTAATAAGCCACCACTAGCCACTACAAAATA